CCCCCCAAAAGCCGCAGAAGCTGCCACCGCCACAGCTTCTGAAAAAGAAGCCAGTCTTCAGTTGCACGCAGCAGAAGTTTCCCACGAATCAACTCGAAGCATGTCATGTTCACCATCGGGCCAATAGCCCCTCTCACAGGGCAAACGTGAGGCGCAGCGGGATGGACGGCAGATGTGCCTGCAGCACCAGCTGCTCCTGCAGAGCCTCCACGTCAGCACAGTCTATCTGCCCATTGGCTATCACCGACGGCAGCAGCACCTGCCCCTGCAGCCTCGACAGCAGCAGCAGCCGTTTCTTCGCCCGTGCCATCCTCAGCAGCATGGCTACTCCTCCTTTCTCCGCCGGACTCCCCCCCCTCACCCCCACCACGTGCACCACTCCCTCGGGGGTTTGTTCCAGAAGTAACCCCCAGTCGGGAGGGCACGCTGCGTTATTTACCCCGCCGGAAGCCAGCACCAGGGTAAGTTCCACCTCGGAATCCGGGACCAGCCAGAGCCGGACGGCACGGAGGACAGAGATATGATCCCCGCGCTGCTCGTCGTTTGTCTTTACTGTCCACTTGCCGTACTGCGCCATCTTGGCGAGCTTGTCGCCGTCCATGCCGCCCAGCCGCACCGGCAGGACTTCGGTTTGGGCGTTCATCAGCTCGAGTGCTGCCCCGCTCGCACGCACTGATGCGAACCAACGCAGGGCACGCTGGAGAGGAAAAAACGCGGGTCAGGAGATGGGAGTGGGAGGGGATGAGAAGAGAGATGAGTTGTCAGGAAGAAAGTTGGGTTGGAACAGAGCGAGACTCCGTTGCAGCAGCAACACAGCTGCTGCAACGCTACAAGCATTATTCTGCAACTCTGAGTCAAGCTGGCTTAAAAACAAATAACACCGTCAGATTGAAGCAAACTGCAAGAACCAGAGAACGCTCACTCGTACGACCCTAACTTACGTCGATCGTGTGATTGACGTCAAAGAATCGACGACTCTCCTTCTTCCCCCCGCTCTCAGCCGGCATGATCAGAATAGTGAACAGAGACGCCGGCCCGCTGCCGCCCAGACCCTTGCTGCTGCCGCCCGAGTCGTCCTTCTCTGCCGCCTCAGCGATACAATGCCGCCGAACCTTGAGAACTGGGCCCGGCGTTGCATGCGAAGGCAGGTTCGGGGCGGCAGGTAGGAAGGCAGGTAGGCAGCCGGAGTGGAGAAAGGTAGGTAAGCCTGATGGGAGAGAGTCTGTGCAAGTATCACCATCTGTTGCAATGCTGCTGGCCATGGCTGCCTGCATGCCTGCTGCCTGCATGCCTACTGCCGGCATGCCTGCTGCTTGCATGCCTACTGCCTGCATGCCTGATGCGTGGCCCCGCCACAGCCTAGCTTCAGGCGCTGTCATGGCCCGCCCTGCCCACAACCTTTCCTGCATCTCCGCCGCTTCCCCTTCAGCACCAGTTCCGGGAGCAGCGGCGTCAGTCGCGGGCATAGTGGAAGCAGCAGGGCTGGTGGTGTGATGGGTGGGAGAGCTCGGTCTGGTCCGCGCTCCCATGTCACGCGCTTCTTCGAGCGTCGGACTAGCACTGCCACCAGTGGCAGCACCAGCAGCACCGGCAGCACCGGCATCACCAGCATCACCAGCAGCAGCAGCGTCGTCTGCTCTTTCACGCCAGTACCCATCGTCTCCTTCCTCCTCTTCCTGAAGGCATGTCTCTCCATCTTCCCACCTACCCCAGCCTGCCCCGCTACCGCCTTCCCCAGAAACCGGCACTTTAGAGTAAAGGTGCGGCAGCACGACCCGCGGCTCGCCTGCTGACGTGGCAGCTGTCGTGCTCCGTGTTCCATAGGAGGCGCCTGTGTCGCTGGCAGTAAAATTACTCGCTTTGTGGGCGGCAGGAGTGTCGGCAGGTTCAATCTCGTTGTGACGCGAATTGGAAGAAGGTTCGCCGGCAATTCGAGCATCCCTGAGCATATCAGCACCATCCCTCTTCAACCGCTCATCTTTGCCGCGACCGCCATCCTGCGTGATAACGTCCCCCCTCTCCGCTGGGAGCACCGCATGCGCCAGAAGCGGTGCTCTGACCCCTTCCGCCTCCTCCGCTCCATCTCTTGCGCGCGCCCATCCCATCCTTAGCCGCGCAATTCCTTCCGCCAGCTTCCCCACAGCCTCGCGCGCCGGCAGGGAGTCCTCCGCCCCTTCCCCATCTTCCGCCTCTTCCCCATACCCCGCGCCGCCTGCGAAACAGCAACCGATTCCCGCCGCACGACGAGCCCTGACGCTAGCAGAGGGTAATTTGGAGTACAAGTCATTGCCGCGCCTGTTGCGCTGCTCCTTGTTGCGCTGCTCCTCTTTCTCCACTGGCCGAGGCTTGTTATTCCTCAGTGCGCCGTACGCTTTAATCCGTTCTAGCCGCAGAATGCTCTCCTCCGTCCACGCTGCAAGCGGCGCGAACAGCGCGTGCCGGCCCTCGGACAAAACGACGCCCTCTAGAAGGTTCTCGCCAGCGTCGTAACTGCAATCCGTTTCAAAAGTGCCGGCTAGCCGGTAGCTGGCAGCTCCAAAGCTTGCGGTGGTGTCGTCGTAACTGCCGTCGAAACTGACGTCTCCTTGTGCGGCTTCAGCAGCTGCGGCATCAGCCGCTGCGGCTTCTGCTGCCGCTGCCGGAGTGACTCGAGCCCAGATGTCTAAACGGCTGAAACAAAGCATAAGCAACATGAGATGAAAGCAAGAGATGAAAGACGGATGCGGCATGAAGTTGGGAGAAAGCAAGAGGAGAGAGAGGATACGATGGAGAAGACGTAAAGAGCGCCGATTGGAAAGCGAGAATGGAAGGGTGACGGAAATGCATGAGTGTGTTTAGTGCGTAAGGAAGGACGGACGGAGGTGGGACGGAGGTTATCAAAAGTGAGATGGAGGTAAGACGAATGTAAGATGGGCGGAAGTAGGAGGAAGGTGCCTTCCAGACTACTGTTGATTTAGAATCAAGATCCAAGACAATCACAGCTTCTAATAACTAAGACCACGAAGGCAACAAACATCGACTTAGATTGCGGACCTTCACCAGCTTCTTAGGTCCAAATGGCCTAAAGATCGCCGTTTCTCACCTATTCCCACGAAGCACTTGAATCGGCACGCGATTCTGCTTCAGCTCGTCGCGCAGAGACCATGAGAGAATCTCCCGCCTGACGCGGTTAATGCCGTCCTCGAATGGAGCGTATGCTGAACGATTCGACCCCGAGTCGCCTACTCTTAGAATGATATCTCCTGGAAGAAGCGCGTGGGGATTCGTTAAAGGCCATTGGCTGTCAGCGATACCAACCAGAACTTCGGTGCGGTTGATAGGTCTGTTGGGTTGTCGAGTATCCATCAGTAGTCAGCGCTCTAAAAGTTGTATTTAGGCAGTTAGGCTATAACCTTAAAGGTGTGGCAAGTCGCATCAATCTTGAAAGGGCTTGACCGATTGCCTTAATCGGAAACGACGACGACGGTAACTAGAGGTACTCATCTTAGGCACCGTGACTTGAATGTAACACTTGGACACACGAAGCTAAACCGAATCGTGCTAGGAAAATAGTTGAATAATTGAAACTCCAGCTGTGCTAGTCAATAATCTGCAAGGAGCCAGCTGTACCGCAAGGCTTCCAGAGGCAAAACAAAAGAAGGCGGTTGATGGTAGATCCACGGAAGACTAGGCTGACAACACAATTTTCGTCCGACGATCCTTTTCTGCAACTGCCGCCAGCAAGAGCCATGGTTCACGGCACGGTGTGGCACCAACAAGGAACAGGAATCGAGGTGACTGACAGAACGTAGGGGGGAGAAAACCTAGGTGACTGCTTGGCTGGGTCAGCAAGCAGTTCCGCCATCGCCCAATCCCGCTGGCACCGGCTGAAAGGGGGGGATGGGGGATGCGCGGGGAGGAGCGGAGGGGTGGCGTAGCAGGCACTCAGGGGGCGCGCAGCGACGTAGACTGGTTTGGTGTGCTATGCTGCTTCCGCTGCCGAACACAGGAGGGAGCCCAGACGTTGTGCTCGGTGGAGATTCTACGCAGAAGTGACGTGAAAGAGGGAATGGCCCACGCAAAGCAACTTTGGGCTTGCTTTGACGTGCTTCCTCCTCGCCGACATTTTCTTTCCTCAAGGGGCACGAAGCACTCAGATTCGCGTGAATTTCACGTGCGCATATCACGATGTGGAGGTGTACAGTGAAATTATGTGCTGTTGTTGGTGGATCTGCGCAGCATGCTCTTATATTTCAAGCTGCCCGGAGAAATTGTGGCAACGTTGGGTGGACGTCAACCCCACCAGGGTGCCATCAACCTTGGCGGAACGTCAACCTCAGCGGTTGTTTCCGTTCAACCGCCCACAGCCACAGCCGTCTGACCAGACCACCTCCCACCGCCAGACTTCGTGGCGGAGGTGGATTGGGATGGAGCGTCGATTCTTGGGCTAAGCCCTACCTACATCTTTTACAGCCGTCGATCTCATTCCACCCAATTCTTGTCAAATTCATCATCCCCGCAAGAATCGTAACGCGTTTGCAGTTGAGTCGCTACGAGAATTGTTCTGAGCCTCACTCAAACAAATACACGTAGTAATCTTTATCATTTCATGCGCAATCGGAGACAATTGCAGGAGCACCCCACCACACCATCACACCCTCCCGTAGCTCCAACTCTCTCCAGAACCTTTTTAGAGAAGGCATGTTCCTCAGCGGATTTCATCGGCCCCATAGCCACGTCTGCTGGAACCCACTAGTAACTGGCCTTCGATGCTTGTACAGAACGAAACGTCTCAGGACAGAGTTTGCCTAGCGGCATTCTTGTGAAAGCAAAAACTCTCTCTTTTCTCTTGTTGCTTTACGCCATTCCGTTTCCCCGCAGCTAGTTTCGACAGCATTCTTCGCTACTTACTCACGCACAAAATTACGCGTACCGCGACGCAAATCAGTCAACCACGACCAGACAGAAGCGCACACCCGCTACAGTCACACAGGCGGCGTTCGCTACAGTAACGAGCGACGATGCGGCCGTTGGACGAGAAGGAAACGCAGGCGGTGTTTGAGAAACTTCACAAGTTCATCGGCAGCAACATCAAGCACCTCATCGAACGTAAAGCGCCGGAAGGGCCGGGCGGCGCCACTGGGGGTTACTGCTTGAGACTACAGAAGCAACGCGTGTACTATGTCAGCGAGGTGGGCAGGTCAGGGTTTACGGGTTCAGGGTTATGGGGTTACGGGGAGAGCGAGGATTTCCCGGGTTACCAGAGAAATTTGAGGGTGGTTGTCTGGGGATTGCAGAGGCCGGAGGGCGAGGGCTAAACGGAGGTTTTACAAGGGTATAAGAAGGGTTTCGAGAGATTTGCAGCGATTGGGATGTACCCCTCCTCGTGACCTCGCTATTTTTCCCTCAAGCTCCTCTCACCGAGGCCGCTCGTCCCGACTGTCATTGCTCGCGTGTCCCCTCGCGCCTCTATCCTTTGTCACCTTTCACGTGACCCCCTGTCACAATATCTCCCCACTAAATCTCATCTGCCCCGCACATCTTTGCCCACGGGGTCCGCATTAGGCCATCATGCGGCGATCCACGAGTGTATCGCGCGGCCATCCAGCATAACTGGGCACGTGCATTGGCAAGTTCACCAGCAGCACCACCCTTGCTCGCAGCACACTCATCCCTGCCCCGACCTGTCACACCCCCCCCCCCCCCCCCCCCCCCCTCATCAGGCCATCATGCGGAGAGCAACAAGTGTGTCCCGGGACCACCTAGCGTCACTGGGCACGTGCATTGGCAAGTTCACCAAGTCGGGCAGCTTCCGTCTCACAGTCACTGCGCTCGACCTGCTTGCAGCTTACGCCAAGTGCAAGGTGCGTCAAGTGCAATGTTTGTGTCTTGCCTGGCTTGGCATGGCTTGACCTGGTGTGTGAAGGTTGCGCTCGACCTGCTCACAGCTTACGCCAAGTGCAAGGTGCGCGTGTGGGCTGTTGTTCTGGCGTGGCTTGGCCTGGCCTGGCGTGGCGTGGCTTCTTTCACCAAGTATGGCACGCTCCATATCACAGTTTCTGCTCGCAACCTGCTCGCAGCTTACGCCAAGTGCAAGGTCCGTCTTTGGCCTTGCCCCTTTGCCTCTTTTCCACCCGGCAGGTGTGGGTCGGTTGGTACCTTCAATCTTTGCCTCTCCTCCACCCCGTCCCTTTCTGCAGGTGTAGGTGAAGCCTGCAGCGGAAATGTAATTTCTGTACGGCAACCACCAAGCCACTCCCTTTCCTACAGTCAACCACCCCTCACCACCACCCCCCCCCCCACACCTTCTTCTCCCCCCTCCTTCCCCTTGCTAGGTGTGGGTGAAGCCAGCAGCAGAGATGTCATTCCTGTCCTGTACGGCAATCACCAAGCACCATTTGTCCCTCTTTCCCTCCCTGCGATTTCTCTTCTCCCTTCTCGCCTCCTTGCCAGGTGTGGGTGAAGCCAGCAGCAGAGATGTCATTCCTGTACGGCAACCACGTGCTCAAGAGCGGGCTGGGGCGAATCACCGAGAGCACGCAGCAGAACCAGGTGGGTGGGCTGGGATGGAGTGCGGTACGGCCGGGATAGGATGGGCTTTTGGTTCAGTACTTGGGTGTGGGGACGTGACCTGGTGTGTCTTGAGGCTATATGGAAATCACTTTTGAGAATTCTCAATAGTGATTGTGAGAATTCTCAAAAGTGATTTCCATAGGGCCGGGATAGGATGGGCTTTTGGTTCAGTACTTCGGTGTGGGGACGTGACCTGGTGTGTCTTGAGGCGGGTATATAAGAGCGGGCTGGGGCTAATCACCGAGGCCACGCAGCAGAACCAGGTGGGCTGGCTGAGATGGCGCAGAGTGGGGTTGGGAGATGGGGTGGGGTAGGGCAGGTCTGGGAGATTGGAGAGGGCGGGGCTGGGAGCTGGGGTAGGATGGGCCTGGGAGATGGGAGCCATGCTGGTGTTAACTTTTGAGAATCCCCAAAATAATTCCCAAAAGTAGCACCAACCAACATAGTAGGCTGAGGATGGGAGATGGAAGCTGGGGGATAATAGAGACCCGCAGCAGAACCAGGTGGGAGGGCTGGAGTGCGGTAGAGTGAGGCTCATAAGTAGGGTGTGGGATGGGAACGGGTCTTGTTGTGTCTTGAACAGGGCCCCGCTGCCCGCTCCTTCTTCCAGGCCTCCCACCCACCCCTCCTTCCCAAATCGCCCCATTCCCTCCCACCAACCACTTCCCATTCCCGCATGGCAGGGAGTGGTGGTTCTGTCGATGTCAGATGTGCCGCTGGGCTTTGGCGTGGCAGCCCAATGCTGCAGCGCCTCAACCTACATCTGCCCTCCCCCTTCCCCTCCCCTCCCCCACACCACACGGCAGGGAGTGGTGGTTCTGTCGATGTCAGATGTGCCGCTGGGCTTTTACGTGGCAGCCAAGTGCTGCAGCGTCTCAAACCCCAACTGCCATCCCACATCTTCCCCCTCTCTCGCCCTGCCCCCACCCCCCTCCCCTCCCATGCACGGCAGGGAATGGTGGTGCTGTCGATGTCAGACGTGGCTCTGGGCTTTTGCGTGGCAGCCAAGTCGATACAGGAGTGCCGCCGCCAGCGACCTGATCCCACCCACTGCCCCTCTCCTTCCTACCGCCGGCCCCTTTCCCTCTCATCCCTCTCCGTCTTCCCCCTCTTTTATCCCCTCCCCTCCCTTACACCACATGGCAGGGAGTGGTGGTGCTGTCAATGTCAGATGTGCCTCTGGGCTTTGGAGTGGCGGCCAAGTCGACACAGGAGTGCCGGAAACTCGACCCTAACGCCATTGTTGTGTTCCACCAGGCCGACACAGGTGGGGCCGACACACGTGACACACCTCACCACACCGCACCACACCGCACTGAACCACAATGCAGCCAAGTCCACAAAGGAGTGCTGGCGACTGGGCCCCAACACTATCATTGTCTTCCACCAGGCCGACACAGGTCCCCCTGGTGGAGGTTCACCTGGTGGAGGTTCACCTGGTGGAGGTCCGGCAGGTGCAGATGGGGCTCATCGGGATTGCACAAGTGCACCACATTGAGGTGTTTGTTGATGCAAAAGGGAGAAGTCCCCGCACCGCACCATACCACACCGCACCGCACCACACTGCTGCGCTGCTGTGCGGAACACATCAATCCTGTCGCTGCATGCCTATGGCATCCTGCAGCCCTGCGAACTCTGCCCCCCCCTCCCTACCTTGCCCACCCCCCCTTGCCTCACCTTGCGCTCCCGCATGCTTTCCGTTCCCTTCCACCCCCCCCCCCTCTCCCCCATACCCACCATCTTTTGCAGGTGAATATCTTCGCATGGAGGATGAGATATGAACCTTCAGTTAGTCAGCAGACAGGAAATTCTTTGCAGGCACAAAAATAGAAAGTGGGACGCATTCTTTTTGTGAGACACAACTGTATTGGTGTACCGTATCCCATAAAAGAGTGTATCTTCAAGTGGTTGTGCTGAACGCTGTACATGCCTCGCTACACTAGTTGCAAACGGTATGTTTGTATCTATAGTGATTGTGCTAAACAATAGTGTAGTACACAGTAAAATCCTAGTACACAAAATACACAAACATTGTTAATTTTCATGGTGCAACTTTTACTTGGTGTTTTCGGGCCTTTAAAAGCAATATATATTTTGGCTCCTTCATTCGTTACACTCCTTGCGTATTTGCGAAAAACAACTCACTGCTCAAACAATTTTAATTACATCGCATCCACAAACGGGTACACTACCATCACTTTTATGGCGGGAAGCACACAAGCCCATGTCGTGTCATTATGGGGCACCCATTTGGGGCTCGCGAAGGCATCGTGGGAGCCTCGCAAATCGAGATACTGTAGTGGCTTGCGTCGCCGTCCATTTCGCAAGTACACCCTATTTCTCGATGTTTGAACAATCGGGAGCCCCGGCTACAGTGCGCACGTGTACTTGGATTCAGCGGGCTGGTGCTTGCAACCGAAATACACTTAAGGAGAACGGTAGACAACGGTTTATGAAATCAAACGTGCTTTTGAGTTTGGTTTCGTGCGGCAAAAGTGCTTATACGTTATGTTCTGGGACCAATTTGGACGCATTGATGTCAGTACAACCGGCTTGTCAATATGGCGAATGTCAGTGTGGCGCGAAACAGGGTGTACGGTGTTACATGGGAGGGGAGCATCTGGCGGGAATGATACGAGAAGAACGAGCGGTTGAGTGCGGTGTCACTTTTCTTGTTGAGTTCAGATCAGACCAGACTAGATAGACCTAGCAACAGCACTGGTTGAGGAACAGGCGTGGTTGAGCGGTATGTGCTTCTTCATATCCACAGAAATAAATTTCACCAGTCCTCCTTCCCTGACCCTTTCAGGCTCACAACGACCTTGCTAATCGACGATACCTGCTTCAGTAGCAGAAGCAACAAGCTGAACAGCTAGTCATTCTTTATTTTCCCCGCCTTTCACAATGCCAGTCGGATCACCGATCCAGCGGCTACCTGAGGAGATTCTTTCTCGGATCCTGCGTTTTCTGGTTCGACCTGATGGCTTGCCAGAGCACGCACTTGTTAGCCAGCAATGGCATCGGATCGCGTGCCGCGTGCAATACGAGCTCCGATTGCCCAATAGCCTCCGTATGAATCCGCGTCGGCTTGTTCAACTTCTATCCTCGTTCCCTAACCTCGAAAAGCTAATCCTTTCCTCTTGCAGCCTCACCTCCATTTCCAAGTTTTTATTCTCTCACCTCGCTAGCACGTGGCACCATTTGACCCAGCTTCATGTCGAAACGATGTCACCTTGGACCAATAAAAGAGATGTAACCGAGAAGAGTCTCATTGCGCTGTTCGAAAGGTGTACGCGGCTGGAAGATCTCTATGTGTACTGCTCGAAGAATGCTGCCATTCCCACGTCAATCGGCCGACTTACTTCCCTCAAGTCCCTGCACTTCGTGGCAAGTGGAGTCACGCGTCTTCCCGACACACTGACCTCGTTACAATCTCTCAAAAGGCTCGTGCTCAACACTTATCAGCTCGAAGCTCTGCCTCAGAATTTCGGCAATCTGATTTCTTTGACGTAGCTGGAGCTCCACCATAGCCGCTTGGCGTCACTTCCGGAATCTTTCGGGCAACTTACCGCTCTCAACCGTTTTTCCTTGAGTCGCTGTTTTACGCTGCAGCTGCCGACCTCTTTCACCGAGCTCTCTTCTCTCGCCGACCTGGAGCTCCGACATTGCAGCATTCTTCCTCCGTCGCCGGCCGATTTCGGTCGAGTGGGGGCGCTTGAAACCCTCATTATGGTTCAAGTGAGGGGAATGCGCGACTTAAAACCGGAGGGCCAAGAAGGCCCAAATTGCCTCAACCTTCCTAACCTTGGTTGAGTTTGGCACTCGCACCCAAAACCTTAGCCAATTGTGTTGCTCACTCCAACCAAGCTTCCTATGGTTGAAGTTCTTGGCCCGCGGGTTTTAATTGCGGATCTGGAGCATTTCCAGCGACTGAAGACTCTATTCATCAAGGACTGTAGGGACATCACGACTCTTCCCGTATCTCTCCGCCTGCCTGCACTCTCTGAACTTACCCTTGACATGGGACAAATTTCAGTGCTCCCTGAAGATTTCGGGCAGTTGTCTACACTTCGGAGACTCGTGCTAAATCTGCGAAGTCTCACAGCCTTACCTGATTCCATCGCCCGGGTTACCACTCTTCAAGAGATTTCCCTCGATCATCTTCTGAATCTGAGACATCTGCCGCAGGAGTTTGGTCAGCTGGTGCTTTTAGAGAAGCTGTATCTGAAAGACCTCCAACAGCTCACGCACCTGCCTGAAACATTCGGGCAGTTAATAGCTCTTCGGGAGCTGAAATTGTTGGAGTGTAGGCAGCTGCAGCAGCTTCCCGACTCCGTGTCCCAGCTGTCTTCTCTCGAGCACCTGGAGATTAACGATTGTCCGTGCCTCACAGTGCTGCCAGACAACATGGGGAAGGGTCTCCGTTCCTTGCGCCATCTGCTTCTATTGGAGTGCACGGTTCTCACCCACCTCCCCCCATCCTTCTCCTGCCTGACATCTCTTGAAACGCTCAAGATTGTACACGCGAAACGCGTCAGGGGCGCGCTGCTGGACGGATTTGGCTGCTTGAAGAGCCTCAAGGAGCTGTCGCTTGATTCTATGCTACGCTTATCCTCCCTTCCTGCTTCATTCTCTGGCGTTGATTCCCTCACCAGGCTGGAAGTGGGAAAATTCCCTAAAGTAACGGTCCTGCCAGAGGGAATCGGACGGCTGGCAGCGCTCAAGGAGGTTAGGATCTTTAAGATGAGCGGCCTGATATGTCTCCCTCCGGCGCTCTTTGAGCTGCCCTGTCTGCTGGCGTTGGACGTGCGGAGGTGTGGTTCGCTAAGTGGGGTGCTAGGGGATTCTTTTGGTCCATTCCTCGGCTGTCTGTTCTCTCTGACGCAGTTGAAGCTGCTGGAAATGTACAAACTTGAACTTCTCCCTGACTCCATCTCCCAACTCTCGCAGCTGCAAAGGCTCAAGATTGATGCGGCCTACCATCTCAAAGCACTGCCCGAGACCCTTGGGGGGCTTGCAGGGCTGCGTACCTTGCAGCTGGTTAGCCTCATCTCGATGCGGCAGCTGCCCGAGTCTCTCGGGCAGCTGAAGATGCTCGAGACGCTGGAGATTATCGATTGTTACAAGCTAATGCAGCTTCCAAAGTCGTTAGTTAATCTACCCAAGCTACGATCCTGCTCTCTTATCATGCTTGGAATCCCACGCATTCCGGATGACATATGGAAGCTGTCTTCGCTCCAGAAGTTGGTTATTCTGGGACCGAAGCACTTGCAAAGCTTGCCAGATTCGTTCACTCGGCTGCCTAAGCTTGAGAAGCTGGAGGTGATCATATGCAAGAAGCTGACTCGGCTGCCCACCTCTCTCCGGAAAATGCCAACATTGCGTGAGTGCAATATCAGCGAATGCCCTCTGCTCTCCCGCCGAGACAAGAGACAGGAGGATGAAGGAGAGGAGGGCGAGGGGGAGGAGGAAGAGGAGGGTGGAGATGCGGAAGAGGAAGAGGGGGAGGAGGGAGGCGATGTGGCTGGGGAAAGAGAAGAGGCGGGCGGGGAGGCACCAGAGGACGAGGAGAGTGGGGCTGAAGATGATGATATTGAGCATGAGTATGCCGTGGACAGTGACTATGATGACGACATTGGCAGTTGCTGGGGGGGTAGTGATGATGATGACTAGGATGAGTCAGATGGCAAAGCTGGTGCGGCGGGTTGGACGTTGGGGATCGGGAGAGCGTGTATGAAATTAGATTGTAGTTATTTATGGGGAGTTGATGTGCTTTCTGAATGGGTTGGTATGGTAGCGCTCCTTGTTGGTGTGTACAGTCAAGTGGGCGCAACGTGGTTTTTTTAGAAACGCGAAGGACCATCTTCCCTTTAGTGAGGCGTTTTCCCATCAGTAGGATAGTGAGATGAAATGAGATGCACCACGGACAAAATTTGCACCAGAAACAAGGCTTCTTGCACCAAGCGCAGGACTCCTTACAGAACTACCAAACGTTCTAGTACTAGAGCTGACTATAACTACCATATAGAGAGGATGCTCTATTGCATATGCTACCATCATGCCAGCCACCAAACCAAACCTATCCTAGCAAAACTACAGGGACCGTAATAAAAATGCATGCTACATATTTCCAATCCAAGCACAATAACATAAACAAGGTCTGTTTATTTCCGAGCACCATTGTGAAGCTCAAGGTAGTCGAGAGCAGGGCGGTTCCACGTCCAGTCCAGTCCTGCTCCATCACTTGCCTCACCGGCACAATTGAGAGAATTTCTCCAGACCCCGAAACGGTGATTTAACGTTGCACACGTGGCCTCGAATTGCTACCGTGGTCGGACAATTCGATGATAATTGCTCGAGTGGTCTTGCCAGAGGTTTCCTCTGGCATTTTTTTAATCCGGCACATTACCCAAAGCCGGTTTTTAGCCCTGAAATTCTTACTTCGAACGTGTCTCTTCCCACGAAAGTGTGGCGTACCCGGAAAGACGTGCACGAGGGCGACAACGTCACTATTCGGATACGCGACAAAAATCAGATCACACACACATTCGAGCATCACATATGCGCGCTCATATAGGTAAATATGCGATTTTATATGAGCACAATTTTACATGACCGCGTCTGATTGGACGCGCAAGGTCAGAAAAGGCCCCACGCATAAAGTCGACCAATCAAGTGCACTCTGTAATTGGTCGCGCGTACTGACATCTGTGCAACTGAGTATATGATCGGGGAATCATATAACTAAGCGCGGATTGGTTACGATATGGACCGAAATTGAGCGCAACTGTTTGCCTAGATTACCGTGCCGATTTTGTCGCGTATCCGAACAGTGACGGCGCCGCCCTCGTGCACGCCTTTCCGGGTGCGTCACACTTTCGCGGGAAGAGACAAGTTCGACATAAGAATTTCAGGGCTAAAGACCGGTTTTGGGTAATGTGCCGGATAAAAAAAAATGCCAGAGGAAACCTCTGGCAAGACCACTCGAGCAATTATCATCGAATTGTCCGACCACGGTAGCGATTCAAGGCTACGTGTGCAACGGCAAATCACCGTTTCCGGGTCTGGAGAAATTCTCTCGGCACAATTCGAGGCAGAGGCATGCTTTTGTGATTGATAACCACTTGACACTGCCTCGAATTGTGATTGATAACCACTTGACACTGCCTCGAATTGTGATTGATAACCACTTGACACTGCCTCGAATTGTGATTGATAACCACTTGACACTGCCTCGAATTGTGATTGATAACCACTTGACACTGCCTCGAATTGTGATTGATAACCACTTGACACTGCCTATTTCCGAGTCTGCTTTTGAGTCGACTCAAAAGTAACCACTTGACACTGCCTATTTCCGAGCCATAGTAAAGCTGGAGGTAGTTAAGAGCGGGGCGGATCCACCTCCAGCTTCGTCTCGCCCCGCCTGGTGCAATTCGAGCAGAACTGGGGCATGTCTCCCCGCCTTGACACTGCCTATTTCCGAGCGCCATAGTAGAGCTCAAGGTAGTCAAGAGCGGGGCGGTTCCACGTCCAGTCCTGCTCCATGACTCGCCTAGCCAGGCCCTGCCACCACTCCCTCCCATCGTACCACCCCGAGATCGCCCTGACGGGCATGGAGAAAGGGAGAGAGGAGGGGGGAGAGGGGAGGAGGGGATGGGGTGAAGGCGGTGTGAAAATCGCCAATGAGGTGCGATGAGGCACATTGGGTGGACCGTGGAGGGAAGTCCAGTCAGAGATCACACGCTTTATCAGATTGGCAGTCCAGTCCTGCTTCATCACCCCTCATGCCAGGCCCTACCACTCAGAGATTGCCCTGCTGAGCCTGGAGTAAAAACAGGGGGGAACAAGGTGAGTACTTGCAATGCACGTAGATACAATAAGGCACCACTTCAGACAATGGAAAGGCATGCAATGGAATGCCCAGAGTCCACTGGAAGCATAACGCCACTGGAAGCATAACGCCACTGGAAGCATAACGCCACTGGAAGCATAACGCCACTGGAAGCATAACGCCACTGGAAGCATAACGCCACTGGAAGCATAACGCCACTGGAAGCATAACGCCACTGGAAGCATAACGCCACTGGAAGCATAACGCCACTGGAAGCATAACGCCACTGGAAGCATAACGCCACTGGAAGCATAACGCCACTGGAAGCATAACGCCACTGGAAGCATAACGCCACTGGAACCACAACCGCTAAAAGCATGCCCAGAAGAATCATACCCAGTAACTTCACAGCCCACTGGAGCTCCTCGTAGAAATATCACACACACTAGAGTCGCGCCCACTAGCATCACACACACTAGAGGTCCCGCCCACTAGCATCTCACACACTAGAGTCCGGTCCACTAGCATCACAGACACTAGAGTCCGGCCCACTAGCATCACAGACACTAGAGTCCCGCCCACTAGCATCACACACACTAGAGTCCCGCCCACTAGCATCACACACACTAGAGTCCCGCCCACTAGCATCACACACACTAAAGTCCCGCCCACTAGCATCACACACACTAGAGTCTCGCCCACTAGCATCACACACACTATAGTTTCGCCCACTAGCATCATAGACACCTGTTGAGAAGCATACCCACTGGACGTACACCCACTGAACCCACAGTCACAAGAATCACACCCACCAGAACACAAACACAAGACTCCCACCCACTAGCAGCCCACCTGTTGAGGGCATAGTCAACGCCAGCAGCATCGGCCCCTTCAAAGGAGAATCCGTTGGCCTCCATGCCTCTCTCTGCCGCTCTCTGCCTGTCCTCCTCACTGTCCACGTCCATCACTGTGTCCCTCAGCCCGCCTGTCTTGCGCACCACTGGCACCGCTCCGTACCGCATCGCAACCAGCTGGGTGAGCCCGCACGGCTCAAATATGGAGGGGACGAGAATCATGTCACTGGCTGCGTAGATCTGTGGGGCAAGGGATAGGCAGTGAAGGGGGAGAAGGAGCAGAAGACTCTTTAAGCTTCATCAAAATCGTCACTGGCTGCGTAGATCTGTGGAGGAAGGGCAAGAGGTGGAGAGGGAGAGGGGGAAGGAGGAGGGGAAGCGAAGTTTGGGCTTTAGAGGCGCCTCAAAAGTCAGGTGATAGATGGAGGGGAGGAGAATCATGTCACTCGCAGCGTAGATCTGTGGGGGAAGGGAGAGAAGGGGGGTGAAGGAAGGGGGTGCTTTTGAGAAGTCTCAAAAACACCTTGCAACTCGGAGGGGGGGACGGAACAGGGATGGGGAAGGAAATCATGTCAAGGGATGGGGAAGGAAATCATGTCAAGGGATGGGGAAGGAAATCATGTCACTTTCTGTATAGATCTGTGGGGCAAGGGAGAGAGCGGAAGGGAAGTGGCAGAAGCGAAGGTTAGGGAGTGGGGAAGGGGAGATGGAGGGTGGACACAGTGTCGGCATGGTCCCATACACAGCCAGAAACCACACGCACTCACCACACGCACTCACCACACGCACTCACCACACGCACTCACCACATCCACTAACCAAGTGCGACATGGGACCATCATAAGACAGCCAGAGCCGTGCCATGTCTCCATGTGACCGCCCCAGGTCCCTCGCAAGAGCTTCAGATTCGCCCTGCACGCGCCCATCGGGGCCGACCCCAGCAGAACCACCAGAGGCAGGTACGTACGGAGCACTGCACTCACCAGAATCACACACCATGCACTCAACCCATGCACTCAACCCATGCACTCACCAGGTGCGAGAGCGGCTCATCGTAGGTGAGCCACAGGCGGGCCATGTCTCCATGCGAACGCCCGAAGTTCCGTGCCAGCGCAGCTCCTCAGGGGCGGGCCCCAGCAGCAGCACCACCTGCCTGCCCCTCTCTCCAACATAGTGCACCACAGGCATGCTTGATGAGTGTACGCACAGCCTCACAACCCACGCACACAAAACAAGTACACTCACCAGGTGCGACAAGGGCTCATCGTAGGTCAGCCAGAGCCGGGCCATGTCTCCATGCGAGCGCCCTAGGTCCCTCGCCAGCGCCTCAAACTCGCCCTGCACGCGCCCATCAGGGGCCGACCCCAGCAGCACCACCTGTCCCCCTCTGTCCAGCGTGCGCCACAGCGCGTGCTTGATCAGCGCTATGCCCTTCTGTGCTGTCAGGCGCGTGACTATGCCCACTAAGGGACGGTCTTCTGAAGGGGTGAAGGAGCGGAGGTTGAGGCGCGCGCGCAGCTCTGCCTTGGCTGCCTGCTTCCCCTCCACGACTTCGGCAGAGGAGTATTTCATCTGGGGATGGGGTGAACACGAGGAGGGGGTGGGGAAGGGAACGACGGGAAACAAGGAGCAGGAGGGAGGGGTTGGGGAAGGGAAAGGGCGCGTGCTTGATGAGCGCGATGCCCTTCTGTGCTGTGAGGCGCGTGACTATGCCCACCAGGGGCCGGTCTTCCGAGGGGGGGAAGGAGCGCAGGTTGAGGCGCGCTTGCAGCTCTGCCTTGGCTGCCTGCTTGCCCTCCACGACCTCTGCAGCTGAGTATTTTAACTGAGGATGGGGTGAAGAGAGGAAAGGCAGGAAACAAGGAGCAGGAGGGACGGGGACAGGGTGGGAAGAGACACAGCCCATGCTTGATGAGTGCGATGCCCTTCTGTGCAGTCAACCATAAGACTATTCCCACCAGGGGCCGATTCTCGGAGGGGGGGATGGAGCGCAGGTTGAGGCAGGCACGCAGTTCTGCCTTGGCTGTCTGCTTCCCCTCCACGACCTCTGCAGCTGAATATTTCATCTGGAGATGGGTAGAGCATGGGGAGGGGATGGGGACAGGGAGGTGAAAGAAACGAAACATCGTCAATGGTGGCACGAGAAAAAGCATTATCAGCATGAATGAAGTGAACGGCATGGTTTATTCGCTATTGTGGAAACGGCAGCAGCACTCACCGAGGGGAAAGGATAAAGCTATTTCTGAGAATTCTAAAAAAGAGTATGCAAGCGGCATGACGTAAACACCATCACCAGGTGACATCGCATTAACTGGCACAGCAGCAGCACTCACCGGAAGGAAAGGGTCCCCCATGGGGTCCCAGAGGTCGGGGTCGATGCCATTGAGAATGCCGTGGAACTTGGCCCTGTGTGCCGCCACTGCTGCATGCCCACTGACCTCCGCCGCGTATGTGGGGGACACCTGAGGCAGAGGGAGGGGTGCCTGGGGAACTGATGAAGAGAGGGGTTGATGTAAATGAGAAGATGCTTTGCCGTGTGCGCTGCGCTGCTGGATGTCCACTGAACACTCCTGCACATGTGGGTGACCAATCGCATGCAGCCATGGCTGCAGCCATGGCCCGGCCAATCATGCCCTGCCCCCAAGCACTATGCCAATCGTGCCATAGCACTCCTGTCTCCTGCATCGCTCATCTCTAGAGTTACATTCCCTCCTGCGCCACACACACACACAGCACAGCCACACAGCACTCACGGTGGTGGCCATGTCGCAGGCAGCCATGGCACGGCCAATCATGTCCTGCCCGAACTCGAGGTTGTGGATGGTGAACACCGTGCGCGCGTTGGCCCACTCAATGCAGTCACATTCCTTACATGCCCGCCCAGCGGTCCACACACACACACATAGTAGTGAGCACTCACAGTGGTGGCCATGTCGCAGGCTGCCATGGCGCGGCCAATCATGTCCTGCCCGAACTCGAGGTTGTGGATGGTGAACACTGTGCGTGCGTTGCCCCCTCCGTACCCGCTGTACTGCTCCCTCTGCAGCCACGCCACTGGCGCTGACGACCAGTCGTGGCAATGCAGGAGGTCCTGAGTGGGGGGGAGGGAAGAGGGGGAAGATGGAGAGGGGCAGGGAGAGAGGGTGAGAGAACTCTGAGGTTCATGCACCCCGTGCTCCCCTCCGTACCCGCTGTACTGCTCGTGTTGTAGCCATGCCCCTGGCGCTGACGACCAGTCGTGGCAATGCAGCAGATCCTAGAAGAGGGGGGAAAGGGGGGAGATGAGGAGGAGGAGGGGGAGGGGGGAAGAGACAGAGGGAGCTTTGACGTCTCAACGCATGACGCTGGGCTGCGTTTCTCTCTTCCCTCCTCTCTCTCCCCCCATACCCGCTGTACTGCTCCCTCTACTGCCATGCCACTGGCGCTGAGGACCAGTTCGTTGAATCCAGTCGTGACAATGCAGCAGATGGCTTTTGAGTCGACTCTTGAGTGACTTTTGAGTCGACTCTTGAGTGACTTTTGAGTCGACTCTGGAGTGACTTTTGAGTCGACTCTGGAGTGACTTTTGAGTCGAATCTTGAGTGACTTTTGAGTCGTCTCAAAAGTCACCTCGTGACAATGCAGCAGATCCCGGGGAGCGGCCTGTGTGCCATGCAATGAAATGTGTGGCGTACCGGGGAGCGGCCTGTGTGCCATGCAATGAAATGTGTGGCGTACCGGGGAGCGGCCTGTGTGCCATGCAATGAAATATGTGGCGTACCGGGGAGCGGCCTGTGTGCCATGCAATGAAATGTGTGGCGTACCGGGGAGCGGCCTGTGTGCCATGCAATGAAATGTGTGGCGTACCGGGGAGCGGCCTGTGTGCCATGCAATGAAATGTGTGGCGTACCGGGGAGCGGCCTGTGTGCCATGCAATGAAATGTGTGGCGTACCGGGGAGCGGCCTGTGTGCCATGCAATGAAATGTGTGGCGTACCGGGGAGCGGCCTGTGTGCCATGCAATGAAATGTGTGGCGTACCGGGGAGCGGCCTGTCTGCAGCAGGAACTCAAGGGCCGCGTGGCAGAAGGTGCCGAAGCGGGCAGCATCGTCCTTGCGGCCGTAGATGCACCCCACCCAGAACAACCTGGGTGGGAGGGACGCATGAAGAACGGTGGGAGGGATGCGCAGGAAACAAAAGAAAAAGGGAAAAAAGAGTGGAGATTGAGCTTAGCACGAGATATCTGACAAGGAGAGAAAGTGTGCATCCCTGTATGACCAAACCATGATGCAACGAGTGAAGTTACTGGCTCAACCCCTTTCCTTTCAAACTGCAGAGCAGAGCATATCAAAGGGATGACTGACTCACCCACTCTCCAGCTCTAACAAATGCACGGGAATCCCGTCCACTCGGCCGTGCCACACAAGCCACTGAGAGAGAGAGAGAGTGTGGGTCCCAGCCCAGATGACCAGAGCAAGCTTCGGAAACACACTAAGGGGAGCTACACACGCACTCACCCGCTCTCAGGTTCGAGGAAGTGCACGGGGATGCCCTCCACTCGGCCATGCCACACCAGCCACCGCGTGCCGCCCCACAGGAAATCGCCCCTCGCCTCCAGCCCTTGCACCTGCGGGTGCGACAAAGCACAGGACAGCGTGGGTGTGTGAATTGAACGGGATTCCGAGTCATCTTTATGAGACCACGTGATAAAAGTGATATTTTGAGACGTCTCAAAATATCACTTTTATCCCATGGGTGTGTGAATTGAACGGGATTCCGAGACATCTTTACGTGACCGCTGCTAGGCACCCCTCGTCTGCAGCCCTTGCACCTGCGGGCATATGGCATGGACAGTCACAGGCGTGCGCCCTGGCAGCGGGTGGTACTTGAGTCAGGCAGTTGTACTGGGACCGGTGGTACTCAAGGCAGTCGTATTTGGGGCAGCCTTTATTGGTCGACTGAAACGTAACAGCGTGCACACCGGGTTTCACTTGAGGCAGGCAGTTGTATTTGCGCAGGTCCTACTTGAGAGAGAGAGAGAGAGAGAGAGAGAGAGAGAGAGAGAGAGAGAGAGAGAGAGAGAGAGAGAGAGAGAGAGAGAGAGAGAGAGAGAGACAATCGTATTGGGGCAGCACGACCTCTACCCTTTGTATGGCCCACTTCCCTCAGCTCATACTCAACCTCAGCTTCCTGAGACATTGGGGTGCTCAGAACCTCTCAATCCCTGAACATACATTGATTGATCTCATCTCACTAAGCCCAAGAGCTCTCGACCCCCCGACTCACATGAACATACTTGAGGCAGTCGAACTCAGAAGTTTCCTTCCGCAGTGACTTTTGAGTCGACTCAAAAGTTTTTCCTTCCGCAGTGACTTTTGAGTCGACTCAAAAGTTTTTCCTTCCGCAGCACCACCTCCACCCTCAGACCACACCCGGCCCAGCACATCAAATCAAACCCTAATTGTACCGTATTCAATCTCACCAAGCCCCTGCATGCACCAACTCCCCAGATCCTCAACCTGGTCGTACTTGAGGCAGTCGTATTTGGGCAGCACCACTTCTACTCTGTGGCCCAGCTCCCTCAGAGGTCACTCAATCATGCACCTCGAAGCATAGTTGTAGTTCAAGCTCACGAGCCCCAGCATCCCAGACCGTCAACGCACCTGGTCATACTTGAGGCAGTCGTATTTCGGCAGCACCACTTCTACTCTGTGGCCCAGCTCCCTCAGAGGTCACTCAATCATGCACCTCGAAGCATAGTTGTAGTTCAAGCTCACGAGCCCCAGCATCCCAGACCGTCAACGCACCTGGTCATACTTGAGGCAGTCGTATTTCGGCAGCACCACTTCCACTCTGTGGCCCAGCTCAATTGTGGCTCGCGACAGTGACGTCACTACATCACCCAGACCCCCCACCTGGTACAGAAAGAGGGGATGGCACGGAGGACAGACAGAGGGGTAGATTGGTTAGTGTGTCAGTCAACTTAAAAGTGCCTTGTGGCTCGCGACAGCGACTTCATCACGTCGCCCAGACCCCCCACCTGGTGACACGGAGGGATGGCATGGAGGACAGACAGAGACAACAAAAAAGTGCCAGTCAACACACAAGTGACAGTTTTTTATTAATTTGCGTGTCAGTGAACTTAAAAGTGCCTTGTGGCTCGCGACAGTGATGTCACCACGTCGCCCAGACCCCCCACCTGGTGACACGGAGGGATGGCATGGAGAAGCAATGGCATGGGGGCATGAGGGCATATGGGTGCCTGACCGTGCGCTCCTAACCATTTTCACAACACCTCCTCAAAAGCTCCCTCACCCATCTGTCCCTACCAAGGTCTACTTCCTCTCCCCCTCCTCCTCACCTTGGCAAAGGGTGCCATCTTAAGAGCCACATGCACGATGTAGAGAGGCGGCTCCCTGGCAGTGCTGCCCGCCACAGGCACGTGGTAGTCCAGCCCTCCCGGTTGTCATACATTGCTGTAGATGGATCGCTGCTGTCCATGTGGTAGTAATCCCCCCCCCACACCCCCGCTTCTTCTTCCACCCCACCCCCCCAGCCACCCCTCCACCCCTCTCCACCCCCCTCCGCCCCCCTCCAACCCTCTCCTCCTCACCTTGGCAACAGGTGCCATTTCCAGAGCCACGTGGACAATGTAGAGAGGCGGCTCTCTGGCAGTGCTGCCAGCCACAGGCACGTGGTAGTCCAGTCCCCTCTCCCTCCACCCAACCCCACCCCTCTTCTCCCTCACCTTGGCAACAGGTGCCATCTCGAGAGCAACATGCACGATGTAGAGAGGCGGCTCCCTGGCAGTGCTGCCCGCCACGGGCACGTGGTAGTCCAGGCCTCCCCGGTTGTCATACGTTGCCGTGGTGGGGTCGCTGCTGTCCATGAAGACAAGGTCCATTATGTACGCGTCGTGAGGCACGGGGACTGGGAGATGGATAGAAACAGGCACACAGTAGGACACAGTGAATCAACAGACACACAGGTGCGTGGCCGTGGTGGGATCGCTGCTGTCCATGAAGACCAGGTCCATGATGTAGGCGTCGTGAGGCACGGGGACTGGGGAGGGGAAGAGGGGGCACAGGACACAATACGCATGACGAATGGCTGATAGTGAGAGGTAAGAGGAGTCGCTGCTGTCCATGAACACAAGGTCCATTATGGAGGCGTCGTGGGGCACGGGGACTGGGTAGGGGGAATGGGCACATCAGTCAGAGCAGGGAGGATAGTGAGAGGTCAGTGGGGTCGCTTTGCTGCTCATGAAAACAAGGTCCATGCTGTACACGTCGTGAGGCACGAGGACTGGCGGTTGAAATGAATGGACACAGGCAGTCGGCAGCACAGGGCACAGGCACAGAGCACAGCGCAAGCAGGGGGAGTGGGTGACAGCAAGAGGCGTTGCTGCTTCCCCACCACCACCCATCTATCATGTCCATTATGCCCATTATGTCTTCGTGCTCTGGGTGATTGGATGTGAATACACGCAGGCAATCAAAAAGTGAAGACGGCTCGTCAGTGATCCGAGTCAGCCCTGTCAGCCCTGTCAGCCCTGTCAGCCGTGTCAGCCTCGTGAGCCCTCTGTGCACCATGTGCGCCCAGGGCTCACGAGGCTCACGAGGCACCATCATGCACCATGGTGCACCAAGTGCGCCCCGTGCGCCTGCACACAGAGAGCAAGGGGGGTGGTCGCTGGTTTCCCCATAAGCATCACGTGCCACATGGCCCAGGGCGGATTAGGGACGCCTGGGCCCCACAACACCTGGGCCCCACAACACATGGGCGCTACGTCAACCTGCATGCAATGCAACAACACATCACGTCCTTTCCCCTCTCCTCCGCCTCACCTTCAGCCATGAGGTGAGTGCACTTGGCAATGCTCCACAGCTGGCAGGCAATGTGGAGGGGCGCTATGTCAACCTGCAGGCAATGCTCCACAGCTGGCAGCATGTGGAGGGGCGCTTCCCCTGAAAGTGAAGCACCCCGAGAGCACTGTGGCTCCACTACTTCATTGATTTTGCTTTCACATCTTCTTTACGCGCCTGGAAAGCGGATTCCTCCCCCTCACCTTCAGCCACGAGGTGAGTGCCGTTGTCAGCGGGCTCCATCTGAAGGGGAAGGAAGCACCCCGAGCGGTGGGTCCAGCGGTTGAACGACCCGCGCATCCACACTTTCTCCCTGCCCTGCAGCGCCGTGCCGCTAGGGTTGTAGTACACGCGCACTGCCTCTCCTGCTCGTGGTTCTGCAGGCTCAGTGAAGAACACGTGTGCCTGGGACTGCAGGAACACTGCTTTGGTGCGTGCCTTCATGGCTGCTTTGATTTCTGCACGCCGCGCTGCCTGTTGTGAGTGATGGGATGGGAGAAACGGAAGGGAGAAAGGAGTTGGTATTGCAGGCTCAGTGAAGAACACGTGTGCCTGCGACTGCAGGAACACTGCCTTGGTGCGTGCCTACATGGCTGCTTTCACTTCTGCACGCCGCGCTGGCTGTGGATGGGCGGACAGAGAGGTTTGTGACACGTGAGGAGGGCACGGGACGGGAAGGAGCAGGCAGAGTGTTGATCCAGTGAACACCGCGCGTGCCTGGCTCCCACCATATCTACACATCCTCCTGGCCATGACGAATTACCCTTCCCTTCTTTATCAGACTCCCTCGCGTCCCAATCCTGCTGCAGTCGCATCAGAGCTAGTCCCAAAATCTTCCTCCAAATAATGACACTCTTCCCCCTTTTCTCCATCAGAGCCTCACTTTTCTCCATCAGAGCCTCACTTTTCTCCGCTCTGCCCCTCCCCCCCCCCCCCCCCCCCCCCCCCCCCCCCCGGGTCCCTTCTCCACTCACCTCCTCAGCCTCTTTCGCATCCCGCTCCTCCCTCTCTTTCTCCAGTCGTTGCAGACACTCCGCCGCCATGCCCTCAAACAGGGCCTCAATCTGCTCCGCATCGCCAATCCGCCCCGCGAAGTCCCGCCGGCTGTTGTTGTCCCACGCGCCTGCTTTCCCCACTGGCCCATCCGCAAACACCCAGTTGAGCGCCACTGCGTCCTGTGGTAGAGCGACTGCATTAGAGGGATGGGGGAAATGGAAGGGGTGAATAGGGGGCCATGTCTTGCTGCTATTGTTGCCCCGCGTGTCAACAATAGCCCACCTGCAAACAACCGGTTGAGCGCCACAGCGGCTTGGGGCAGAGTGACTGCATCAGCGGGATGGTGAAAGTGGGAAGGTTTGAATTGAGGGAAGTGAGTGTGTATGAGGCTGACAGGCAGGCAGCCTTCCATGCAACCAGAGAGTTTTTTCTGCACCCTGATGTCCTTTTTGAGAATCAGAAGTGACTTTTGAGTCGCCTCAAAAGTCAGTCTAGCAGGCAGGCAGCCTTCCATGCAACCAGAGGGTTTTGTCCGCACCCTGATGTCCTTTTTGATAATAAAAAAGTTACACTAACATTTCATCCACCACCATCAACCACGCACCTTCCACGGCCCACCAGTCGCCATCCTCGTTATTAACACACTCCAGTTTCTCCACAACAGACACGCCACCCTGCCACCCATTCACCCCCGCATGCAGCCACACCTCCCCCGCCCCTGCCAGGGGCCTACCCGCCCGGTTATACTCCACCCTCACCACCACCCCCTTCTCAACCCCCCCTCCTTCCCCTGCCACTTTCCCTCCCCATTCCGCCCCTTCCTTCACCTCCAGGCGCCACACCCCTTCCTCTCCCGCCCTTGCATTCTCCCATATCGGCCCAAGCCTCTGCCGAGCCTCATCAGCCACGGCTCGGGCCGTCGCCCGTTCCTCCTCCTGCTGGGCTCGCAGCAGGGCGGCCCTCCTCTCCTCCTCTGCCTTCCTCTCTCTCTCCGCCTCCTCTGCTGCCCTCTCCTCCGCCTCCCTCTGCTTCTGCTCATTCAAGAACCGTTCAAATTCATCCTCTCCCATGCCCCCATCTATTGAGATGTAGAAATCCCGCCCCTCGTTGTTCTCATACACGTTATCACTGCTGTGGAAAACGAAGTTCATCTGATACGCCTCCTTCGGTATAGTCACGCTGCACGTCCACCAGTCATTTGCCACCTCGTTAGAGGGCTTCAGCTCATACTTAAACGGCTCCCACTGCCACTCGTTAAAAGCACCTACGACAAAAATCCCAGCCTTTTCTTTCAGCACGCTTGCCGGGCGGTGGAAAAAAATATCCACAGTTTCGCCTGCCCGGACCTGCCCGGCCTCAGGGCAAAAGAACATTTTAGCTGTGACAAACTCGTGCTCTGCCTGCAGTGCCCGTAGCTTCTCCTGCCTATTCTCTTCCCTCATCTCCCTCACAGCAGCCTCTCTCTCCTTCGCAGCAGCCTCCTCAAACTCCCTCTCCCTTTGTGCTGCTGCTGCCGCTGCTGCTTCCGCTGCCAGTGCTTTTGCTGCTGCTGCTGCTTCTCCAGCTAATGCGTTTGCAGCTGCTGCCTCTGCTGCCACTGCTTGTGCTGCTGCTGCCTCCGCCTCCGCCTCTGCCTGTGCCTCTGCCTCTGCCTCTAACCTCTGCAGCTGCTCCTGCCTGCTCCTCTCCTGCATCTCCCTCGCAGCAGCCTCCTCTAACTCCCTCTCCCTCTCTGCTGCTGCTGCTGCTTCTTCTTCTGCTTCTGCTGCTGCTTCTGCTGCTGCTTCTGCTTCTGCTGCTGTCGCTGCTGATGCTGATTCTGCTTCAGCTGCAGCTACTGCCTCTCTCTGCTGCTGTGCAACCGCAGCAGCCGCTGCACTTTCTGCTCTCAGACGCATCTCCTCCATCCTTGCAGCCTGCTCTGCCTCCTGCCGTCCCACGGCCTCCTCCCTCCTCACTTCACCCAACCCTGAATCCTCTCCCCTCACTGCTATTCCCTCTTCTCCCCCCAGTGCCAACCCTGCCAGGGCCTTGAGCCGCTCTGCCACGCGCCTCTCCTCCTCCTCTAGATCCACCTCCGTGCCACCAAGTGTGCTGCCACGGGTGCTGCTGTTGCCGAAAGTGCTGCTGCCAAGGCTGGTGTTGATGCCAGCACTGTAGCTGCTGCCTGTGCTATAGCTCGCATCAGCACTGTAGCTGACATCGGTACTGTAGCTCGCATCAGCACCATAACTGACACCTGTATTGTAGCTGACATCACCAACGGAGCTGACATCAGCACCAAAGCCATCCCCAGCACCATCGCTGACATCAGCACTGTAGCTCACATCACCAACGGAGCTCACATCAGCACCAAAGCCATCCCCAGCACCATAACTGCTGTCCGCAACGAGGCTGGCACCAGCAGCATCAGCATCGCCAAGCGTCCTCTCCAGACCCACACCCAAATCCACTGACGCTGGCGGGTCATAAATAGGCGCCTCCTCCAACGCCTCTACATCCCCCCTGCCGTCCTGCCCACCCTCGGCACCGTAGCTGCTGTCAGCAACGGCACTGCTACCAGCAGCAGTGGCGCCAAGGGTCGCCTCCAGATCCACATTCGAGTCCGCCTGCGGTGGTGGGTCATAAACGAGGGGCTCCTCCTCCTCTAACGCCTCTAACGCCTCTAACGCCTCTTCCTCCCTCTTGCCGTCTCGCCCACCCACCTGCTCCTCTGCTCCCATCGCCAGTGTTTCCTCTTCTGCCTCCTCCGCCTCTTCCGCTTCGTCCTCCTCTTGCTCCTCGTCTTCCTCCTCCCCCTCGTTATCCTCTTCCGCTTCCCCCTCGTCCTCCTCCTCACTGTCACTCACGGCAACATCAACCACCACGGGTCGTTCCGCCACGCTGAGAAGCTTCGCCGCTTCTTCCATCACCCTCTGCGCCTCTTCCATCACCCCCGCCGCTGCCTCTCCCCCTTCATCCTCCTCCTCCTCCGTCTCGTCTTCCCCACTCACAGCACCATCTCTTCCCTCCTCTTCCACACCACCCACAGCCGACCTCTCCTCCCCCTCTGTCCCCTCCTCCCTCTCCCATACCTCCTCCGGAACCTCGTTTTCCCTATCCGATTCACCGTCGTCCACCACGGAAAAAATAATACCGTCGTCCGTCACCGTGATCCGCGCGTTCTTGAACTCTTCCGGATCCAGACCGTCCACGTGGCTGATCCCACTGCCCGCACGGACGGCTGTGGTTGGCCGGCGAGACGGACGGGGAGCAGAGGAGGACGAGGACGGGCCGGAAGCAGCAAGAAGCGACGGAGTCACCCAAGTAACCCCATGCGTATTTCCTTGAAAGGCTCTTGCGCTATTTCCCTGAAGGGCTCTTGCGCTCATGTTCCTACTCCTGGACCGCACTGAGCTGACGGATCGCGGCGCTCGGGTTGGGACTCGCGCGACATTGCCATTGCGGAGGAGCGAGGTGGGAACGGTGAGCAGCGAGATGGACGGACTACCTCGCAGAAGGCTAACGGGTTTCGCGAGCTCCTGCGACATCGCAGGCGAACGAGCAAAAAGAAGCTCTCTGCCAGAGAGAGACAATACGGGAAAGCGCGTAGTAATAAATATTTATGTATTTCTTCCACGGAGACGGAGGTGTTTACATTCACGCTTTCAGGTTGCCAAGAGTGCGAGATGCAGAAGCTGCAGGAACTAAGGGAATGTCCACACCACAGGGTGTATGGGCCTATTTACCTGGTGGGGAGGAGTTCTAGGATGAAATTGCTGACTGCAATGCCTGAATGACCAAACTTGGGGATTCCCGAGGTTCGGGGAGTTCCCAAGGGAATCGCAGCAAGCAACCTCTCTGGCTCCAGGCCTCGGTTTGGGGGCTCCAGATAATCGCTTGGGCGGAGCCTCGGTCAGATTCCGAGGCAACGAAACCTTAATCTCCGACAAATGGACGGTAACGTCATGTGTGCTCCCCATATCGTTGGCCCCGAAGCTCTCTGATTTGCACAGAAGGACCGCGAAGGGGCTGTGTTGATTGAAGCATTGTAACGGGGTGAACGGTCTCTACATCTGGCAGATATATAATCCACGGGTACAGTAACTAACCACATTCATTCTGAATGTTAGTCTTCCAGAAATCGGTGGGATAGGGAACCGACTCATTTCCACGTACATGTTCCTTGTTTCATTAAGACATTATTGGTGTATAGATTACAAAGATGCCCATAGCATACAGCCGTATTGATAAATATCTGACTACGCTGTTTAACTTACAATCAACAAGTGTGCAAGATTGACAAGGGGGTAACCTGCAAGCAACGTAGAGACAGAAGAAAGGCGCATGATTAGAAACCAGTAGTCACTGGGAGCATAGGAGCGACAATTGGACATAGCTGGCTCAGAAGTCATTGTAAGTCTAGCAACTTACGTAAGAAATAAAAAAAAAAGCCGAGCCGCTGACAAGGGGGCTTGGAGCAATGTGTGCACGAGGTTGGGAGAGGCAGGACAGGGAGTGGGGGAGAGGTGGGGAGGGCTGTCTTATAGGGTAGCGTGGATGGGAAGAGAGCGAACGGGTTCAGAGACACTGTCAGTTTCACAAGCATCAAATCCTGGTCGTTAGTAGCAGTGAAATCTGTTGCGACCAAGTACCTGTCTCGTGTGTCTAGTCAGTGTGTTGGCCTCGTCGTAGCTCCCCCACGCTCATGAACTCGACAAGGACCGGAATTGCCGCGACGACAGCAGCGACGCTTGGAGCGAGGGAGAGTGTAGAGGCGACGCACGGGAGGCCGGCGACAGCAGCGAATGGGAGAGAGCGCCTGGTGACCGTAATGAATGGGAATGATGTTGATCGCTTGCTAACCGCGACATTCGACTTGTTGACGGGGCAGCGCGCGCGAGATACGCCGCGTATTGATCCGCTGTCCACGGCTGTGGCAAGCGGACAGTGCGTAGAGGGGTGGAGGGAGAGGTGCGAAGGGGAGGGCCGAAGGAAGGAAAAAGGGGAAGGAGAAGGGGAGGGTGAGGAAAGCGAGTACAGAGGGTAGGGGGTCGAGATGGGAAAGGGATGCAACAATACAAGCCCGCGGCTAGCGATCGTTTAGATCGGATTCGTCAATTCAAAATCAAATATTCAGAAGTTTCAAAAGTTGCGGCATGCGACAATGGCACAAGAAACTCGACGTGCAGTTAACACAAGGCGTTCTGATAAATGGCAGAAAACAGCCACGTGTATCCTCGTCAGGCTAACGAGCTGAATTCCATGACGAAAACTCACGAATACTTGATTTTCTTCGGCGAGATCGCGAACCTGTTTGATAGTTTCCACCACGCCAGAAACAACGGACCGCCCACTGGCTTCCAGACCTGCGGGCTTCCAGACCTGCAGCAACATGCGTAATTCTGGAATCTGGAACATTATCACGACGGCTGACCTGTTCTGCTGAGAAAACAAGATCGCTCCCTCCAAACGACGAGCCCCCGTCGAATGCGGCGCTGCTTCCGATATAAGATCCGTTAAGGGAATTGCGCGTCGCGTACGATTTTCTATCACGCGCTGCTCCGGCGGGGGCGGCGCTGAGCGGCGAGGAGAGGCTGTCGCCGCACGTGACGAGCACGAGACCCGTGCAGAAGGAGCAGGAACACGTGGCACAGCCCAGCCCTAGGAAGAAAGGAAGCGCCGAGCTGCCGCAGGCGGAAAACAGTGCCATCAACAGGAAGACGGTGTCTACGCCCTCGATAAATGGTCCACGATATGTGATCCCAGCGGTGTAAACGCTCAATTCAGGAGAGATGCTGCGAATCAAAAGACCTTGCAATTCTATTCGTGAGCGAAATTGAAATTTGCAGCGCTACCTACATCGGACGACTCGAACAAGATGCTCCAGGCTGGAAAAGCCGCCTGCTGGTGATCAGGTGATGTGAATACCAGTAGTTTCTTCAATATCATGGAAATCACATACACGTCTTTGTACACAGGGGTTTGAGCACTTCAGACAAATAGAAACGAAAGCGAAGGAATTGGGTCATGAGGAACGGGAAAAAAACAAGGTCGTTCAGCTCCGTACAAGTTACAGTTTACGTAGCTTGCCAGCTAGAAAGGCAAGCTCATTCGTTTCGCTTGTGTTTGGAGTGAGTTCTGTAAGGCGAGTTGAGAAACGGGAGAACAAATGGGAATGTGAGGAGAAAGTGAGGGGCTGATGTCAGGCGGCGACGAATGGAGTGCCTACCACAAGGCTACGCCACGCCACGCCACGGCAGTGTGGTGAGGTGAGGGGAGAAGAGGGGCGGAGAGGAGAGATCGGGTTAGCTCGCAAACTTGTCACCCCCGCCCCCCCCCCCCCAAAAAGGCTGGGGTGTTTCAAATCTATGGTCTTTTTTGCCAAACGCTCAGGTGTGTGGAGTTTTTTTTATTGTCCAACGCTGATAACGGCCATACAGTACACGCAGACATAACCAATGTCGTTACAGAATATTCAGGTGTACTGTAATAGACAGTCAAGTACACGAACCCTACATGTGTCGAAAAGGTCAACTTCAGCGACCAAAAGCCTCCCTACAGTCATGAACACTGCGGCAGTAGCGACCACCAAAGATTGTGGCACGATTGGTCGGCTGGAGCAGCGGCGTGGCAGGCAGCAGGTTCGGCGGGAGGGAAGAAATGACAGCAGGCTCCAAGTCTGGGCTAGGGAAGTGAGTTAGGACGTGGTGCAAATCGGCCCCATTATTGCCTCAGATCGGGAAATCCACCATCTCTGAGAAGCCGCAGGGGTATTTTGAGGCAATTGCATGCAATCGAGGGCATTCTCTCGATTGCGATCAAAAACCCGATCGATCGCCCCAATCTCACGCAATCGATCGCAATCGATAGATTGTTTGAGATTGTGGGGCCTAGCGACAGTTGCGAACAGTAACCGACTCTGTCGAAATTCAGCACTACTCGCAGAATCATTATATATCGCGATATTAGAACTTGGACGAAGACCATGGAAGAATCGGGAACGTCAGAAGGGGCTACTGTGTAAGTGGGCGATCCAAAACTTTGCTTGTTTCCTGATCTGCACCCCGTCCTTAGGACGGGAGCCCAATCGACTTTGAACAGCTCGATCAAAGGTGGTCAGTAATTTTCAGGAAGCCGGGAAGCCGATTTCAGGCAATCGCGGGCATTTAGGGTCGCAATCCCCTGATCGCTCCAACTCGATCAACCGCCTGAAACAGCCCGATCAAACATGATCATACACAATCAAAGTCGATCACTTGATTGCTCGTGATTGGGTACATGGGCGACGCAGGCGAAAAAGTTACACATTTACCTTGAGAAAACTAAAATCTCTCGCTCATACATACAGACTAGCGGGAACTGTATGTTATAGCGATCATTTTGCCACCCAATCAAACTTCATTCGAACTGCTTCTAGAGCACTTCTAGTATGCATTGCGATGTTTGCGACATTACCATGATACATTGGGCTCGCCGGTCTCGCCAAAGGTGGTATGAAACTACCAGCTAATGGGGTCACGCTTGTCATGCAAGATCGTAGAATTTCCGAGGAAATCCTGCGTTGATCGGGCGGCGCGAGCAAAGCGATCACAATCAATCCGATCCAGCCCAACCCGATCCGATCCGATCAAAGTCGATTGGGCCCACGTCTTGCGACTGATTTGATCGGGTTGGATCTGATCGGGTTGCTTGTGATTGCAGTGCCTGAGCCGCCCGATCAGTGATATTTTTTTAAGAATGTTTTCAGCGCCTGCTCATTAAGCGCGACACATCTACCTAGCATTTTCGTCCTCATTCTAGCGAGATCGGCGACCAGACGTCACCTGGCGAAAATCTTAGTTTCCCTGTAAGAGCAACAGTGTAACTAGTCGCAAGCATCGCTGGGAGCCTGGATCACAAGCAATCAGGTGATCGCCTGTGATCGAGGAAAAATCGGCTCTGATCGGGCTGAAAATTGGGTCTGATTGATTGGAGCAATCAGTCGATTGCGATCAGCTGATTGCCCCCGAGTGCCTGAAATTGGCTTCCAGGCTTCCTGGAAGTTCTTGATCGCGTGTGATCTAGGCGATCAAACTAGATTGGGCCCACGTCCTTACTGCAGAACATCACAGAAACACAAGTCATCGCGGTTCCAGGAAGTTCAGTCAACATACAGGCCAGATGGTGATGGTGGTGACGCTGCGGAGAAGTGATTGGGCTAGCGGTGCTGTGGTGTGTGGTGGTGGCATGAAGATTTGGTTCTGCAGTGGATACAGCGCCTGCCACGGCGATTTATGAGATTGTGTGGTGGTGAACAGTTGCAGTCCTGCTCGTGCTCTGTACAGTTCACCTGCCTTTGTGGCCTGAGGATAATCTGATGGGGATGGGGACGGGCAGCCCAAAATTTCATTCCAGCACTCGCGTGATTCCCGGTTCACCCATTACGAGACGAACCTTGAGAAAGCATAATCATGTACACCACGTCTTTCAAATAGCCTCAGTGTATAATTCATATAAGCAAAAAAAAAGTATTTCAAATAGCCTAAGCAAATGGAAGTATTTCTTCATCCATAATTACACATGAATCTGTGCACCATAAAACAGTTTCTTTTCAACTATTCCAGCGCCAAACATTGAATGAGTGGTTTGACCAACCCTGACGACAAATTTCCGCAGCATACAATCATGAATGATTCGACCCTCTCTGGTTGGCCTTAACAGCTGCTACTCGAGCAGCCACGGCGGCTCGATTGGCTGCAGACACTGCCTTAGACACCCTGTCATCCACTCTCAACACATTTTCCGCCTTTGCTGCTGCCCGTCGTGCCTCCTGGAGAATAATAAGCAGAGCAAAGGAAGGGGAGAGGCAGGGAAATTCTGAGAAGGGGTGAGGTACAATATGCTTTAGTACCTGAGAAACATTCTACAAACGCACCGGAGCACCCACTTGAACGGCATGCTGCACCCAAGCACCCACCTGGACAGCCTGAGAACCCTCTTGATCAGCCTGGACAGCCACCTGAACGGAATGAAGCACCTGAGAACCCATCCAATTACCCACCTGAACGGCATGAAGCACGCGGGAGTGGTTGACAGCGTTGGGTGACGAGGCCGAGTGCGGCGTGTGCGGCGTTAGTGGCGTGGACAGCCCCATCCCACCAGCAGACAAAGGAGTCCGTACCGGCGACACCAACCCACTGCCTCCCCCTCCTCCTCCCAGCAACTCTGTCGACACTCCCGGGCCTCCTCCCGGCCCTGCTGTCGCCCCTCCTGCCACCCCTCCCGCCATCCCCGCTCCTCCCCCTGTCCCTGCCCCTGCCCCACCACCCAATGCACCTGCCGCTCCCCCAGCCCCACTCTCCCCACCACCAACCCCCACCCCGCCCGGCCCCCCAACCCCACCACTCCCAACCCCTCCACCTCCCCCACCCCCCACCGTCCCGATCATCCCCCCTCCACCCGAGCCGCTCCCAGTGGGCGAGGCGGGGAGGGTGTTGGTGCTGCGGGTCTCGAGAGCACCGAGGTGCCAGTAGCCGGCGCGCATGTCGCCGTTGCGGAAGGTGTACATGCCCAGGCCCTGCTTGCGCCCCTCATGCCACGCGCCCTCGTACCGGTGCCCGTTGCTGAACTCATACACCCCGTACCCGTGCATGCGATCTGCGAAATATTCCCCAGCGTAGGTATCGCCGTTCCTGATGGGGGAAGGGGGGGTGGTTTGGGGAATGAGGTGAGAGACCATAGTGGCATGCCTGCCTGCCCTCGTACCGGTGCCCATTGCTGAACTCACACACGCCGTACCCGTGCATACAGTCCGCGATATACTCTCCTACATATGTGTCTCCATTTCTGGTGGGGAGGGGTTGGGGAAACAGAGAAGTGGGGATCACTTCGTACCGATGCTCGTTGCTGAACTCATAAAACCCGTACCTGTGCATGCGGTCGGCAACGTACTCTCCTGCGTATGTGTCTCCATTTCAGGTGGGGGGGGTGATTGGGGAAAGAAAGGAGTGAGAGACCATAGTGGCCTGCCCTCATACCCCATACCTATGCATGCGTCAGCAAAGTATGCGTCCATAAAGGTGCTGCCACTCCTGGTGTGGGGTGTTTGGAGGACAGTTCAAAAAGTCGGTCGAGGTAAGAGGTTGGTGTAGGAGATAAGAGGAAATAAGCAAAGAACAAATTTTTCATTGCACTGTGGAGCACCATTGTAGCAGCGGTTCTTGCTGCTGGGGTTACGCACCCCAGGCCCATGTGTGCTCGGAGACGTTACAAAAAAAGAGAGTGTGTGTGGGGGTGGTGTCAAATCATGGTCATGCCACAACAATCACTATTGATAAATTGCTCTCACCCCAACAAATGCTCTCACCTCAAACCCTGCTGTCACACCCACCTGAAAGTATACTTGCCGAATCCATGCTTGGCGCCCCACGCAAACTCCCCGACATACTTGCTGCCATCGCCGCAAGTCTGCACGCCCACCCCATGGCTCTGCCCCTTAGCCCACATCCCCGCAAACACATCCCCGGTATAAAACCGGTACACCCCATACCCCTCCCTCAGCCCCTTCCTGTATTGCCCTCGATATCGACTCCCCCGCGACCAAGTCTCAATCCCATACCCATCGTATTTTCCATCCACCCAGTCGCCTTCATACCGCCCGCTGCCCGAAAATATGTATACTCCGCTGCCCGAGCATCTGCCCTGGTAAAATTCTCCCTCGTACCGGTCCCCGTTGGCATACACGTGTATCCCGCACCCAGATGCCGCCCGGGAGGCGCTACGAGACGAAAGACCTGCCGCACCTGCAGGTCCGGCAGCAGCTGTGGAGGACCCCTCCCCACCTCCACTATCCGAACCACCCTCCCGGTCTCTGTCTCTCTCACCGGCTGCACCAGTGCCACTACCACCATCATCACCACCGGAACCACTGCCGTTGTTGCTGATCCCTCTCCCGCCGCCCCTGCCGCTACGACTGTACCCAAGATACTCCCAGCTGCCGCCCCCACTAGACGCAAACTTCTTATCCAGAGCAGAATAGTTCCCCGTGCCTCCTGTGCCTCTTAGCCTGAACGGCCGAGGGCCAGACGCATACCCCATCCCCGCTCCAGCTGCTGCTGCCGCCGCTGCTGCCGCCCCTCCCCCTCCCCCACCAAGCCCCCCAAACGGCAAGTAATGCGCCCAGGAAGGGAGAATACTCCCCCCTCCCCCTCCGCCTCCGCCTCCCCCACCCCCTCGGCCCAGCCCAGCCCCTATTCCCAACCTGCCAAACCCGGTACCATCCGCCACCGCCCGCACCACCACCCGTTTCACTCTTTGCAGCCGCTTAACTAAGAGCCGGGAGCGGGGGAACGCGGTGTGCAGCAGCAGCGCCAGGCGATCGAAGAAACGGGGGAAGGCGGAGCGGAGGGCAGCAGCAGCGCCGAGGAGTAGGATAGAGAGAGCTACCAGCTCCACCCAGGTGGTCCCGGGGGGGGTTTCGTAATCCTCCTCGTCTGGCGGAAACCAGTAGAAGACTGAGAGGAACCGGAACCCCCGTAGGTGCCAGAGGATCAAGACGAGGGCGAAAAAGAGCATGGCGCTCAGGGTTTGAACGTCCACTCGATGGTGGTGGTCCCATAAGGCCGTTATCGAGTGTGTAGCTGCTGCTGCTGCCGCTGCTGTTGCTGATGATGGTGGTGTACTCGTTATAGAGGGGTCCGGGAGCGAGGATAACGCGGCTGCTTCTGCTAGGGAAGTCAAGCTGCCAATGTTTTTCGTTATTGTTGGGGATTTGGGGATGGAACCGATTCGTCTGAAGCCTGGTCTCTTGGACCCAGACGCTCCTCCCCCTTTGCTGCCTCCTCTTCTCGCCCCCCAAAACTGAAACCCTAACGTCGTCTCTATAGCATGTATAGCTCGTCCCGGTAGCTTACCGAGTCCCTCTACAAACGCGTACAGCCCCTGGGACGCTGCTGACACGTGGCTGTAATCGTGTGGTGGAATCTTCACGCGCCCTCTCCGCCAATCCTCCTCCGCCTTCTCGTCCTTCTCTTTGGGTTCCTTCGCCCGCCCTTCGGGTAACGGTCGCGAGCTCTGCGCTGGGATTGGCTGCTCGCGTTCTAGGGTTTGCTGCCCCGGCCTACCAATCCCAGACGAGGACGCTGTAGCGGGGTCGTCCCATGCGGGCGGGACTGTGATTGTGATTACTTCGGGGGTGGGAGACGAAACGGGAGGTCCTAGATTCACCCCGCCTAGATTTAATCCGCCTACTCCGGCGCTCGCGCCGCCAATTCCGCCGCTTATTCCGCCCGCGAGCTGCGCGCCTTCGGACGAGACGAACGTGGCGCGCTTGTGCGCCGCGGACGGGATCAGCACCTGGTGGTGATGTGGATGGTCCGCCTGCAGCCACGTGGACGTCCCTCCGCCCACCGCCGCGCCGCCCGACGGGATGTTGAAGACATGCGGAGAGAAACCCGATGCAACTGTCGCGGTTCCGCCGCCTTGGTCCTCGACGACTGAAGAAGAGCTGGCCGCGCCGCCACCGGTGCCAGTAGTGATGCTGATGGCAGTGCTGGTGTTGGCTGCAGAGACATTAGGGCGCGGAAAAGGCGGGGAGAGGTGCAGGGACGAGGAGGGAGCGGCAAACGCGGCGCTACCTCCGGTGATGCCGCTGCTGCTGCTGGTGCTGCTGGTGCTCCCAGTGGCGCTGCCCCCAGTAATTCCGCCTGGTAACCCTGTAACGGGTAATCCTGCCCCTGTTCTCCCGCCAACGGCCCCTGTAACAGGTAGGCCCGACCCTGGTGTTGCCGAGTACATGGGAGGGATTGGAGTGAAACCCTACCCGCTGTCATGTGACGTGGAGAGAGTGGTGAATGAGTCAGATTGAGGGGTGTCTGAGTCGGAAAGAGTCGTCGCTGAGTCACATTGAAGGGTGGCTGAGTCAAACTGACAGGCGGCTGAGTCGGACTGGGAGGTGATGAAAAGTGGGCTGTTCTAGAAATCAAGATGCGGCCCGGCCCAGTCTGCGACCTCACGCGGCTGCGACCAACGTAGCTGCGACCAACGCGGCTGCGACCTAGTCAAATTAAGGAAATGTCGAAGTCGATAACCTAGGAGCCATGATGGCGAGAGTTCACAATTCGCGGTGACGACCAACTGGCAACGGTCCTCTGCTCCTGATTCCCATGATCGAGCAGGTTGACGCCAACACCGGAATTCCCTCAAGCTGAACGTCAACGTCTGTAACCTAGATAGGCGAGCTTTAGATGGCGCATATGCGAAACGACATACACGGTATGGCGGCGAGGGCTTTGCAGTAATCGATGCGCATCATCGGGGAGATATGCTATGGACGTCTTTATTCTTGGAACTAAGGTGAGGCTTTTGATGGAGCTTCCATAATTGCCCAGCTTTAGGATTGAGAGGGAAAAAAATAGATTTCACAAATTCAAGCAGCAGCCCTCACCCCGGTTACTACACTGCATTCAAGGAACGCCAGGAAATCAATCAAACCGCATTCAAACCTTCTGTATCTCAATCATATTGTCTTTGACCCCGTGAAGATTGATAGGTACCAGACTCCTAAGTGGTGGCTGGGAGTGTATGGTTGGGCCCTCTTACAAAGTAAGGAAAAAGAGGTTTTCCTTACACTACCCCCCCCCCCCCCCTAAGGAGGTCTTCCTTACGAAAGTGCGTGTACATCCCGAAAATTTCGGCTACGCAGGTACTCGGTGAGGACGGGGTGGTTTTTGATTTTGTCCAGGGGGACCCAATTGTCTTCGGTGGGTGTACGGTCCTTCCAGCGGAGTAAGAATTCGATTCGTCGGGATCCTCGAGGGTTGCGAACTCGGTGGCTTAGGATTTTTTCGGGGGTGATTATCGGTTCAGTTGGTGGTCGCGTCATGCTGGCTGGGCGATTTCGTGGCAGTTGGCTCGTGGACGGGACGTAAGGGCGAAGCAGACTTACGTGGAAAGAGGGGCTGACGTACCAGTCAGCAGGGAGGAGGAGGTGGGCGGTGACGGGTGTGATCATGTGGCTTATGCGGAATGGCCCACAATATCGGGGGCGGAGTTTTGGGGTGACGGGCAGTCGGAGATTCTGGGTGTCGAGCAAAACTAAGTCGTCGGGCTGGTAAGTGATAGGTCTGCGGTGGCGGTCGGCGTTACGTTTAGCGATGATATTAGCTTTTTAAATTGCGTCTGCTGCCCTGGTCCGTGCTGCTTGCAAGATTTCGGCGAATTGTTGTGCGCGTGGAACCGGGTTGTCAGGATTCGGGGTCATGGGTACTGCTGGGTCTTGTCCGTAGTTCAGGTAAAATGGTGACTGTTGGGTCGTAGCTGATGGGGCGTTGTTGTACGCGAATTCGATGAGTGGCAGTTGCTGTTCCCACGTGTTTGGGTTGTCGCACGTGGCCCGGATGAGCTGTTCCATGGTCTGGTTTGTCCGTTCCATCTGTCCGTCTGTTTCGGGGTGGTACGATGAACTAAACTGTAGTCGTGTGCCGAATTGCTGCCACAGGTTCCGCCAGAAGTTGCTGGTGAATTTCGTATCTCTGTCGCTGATGATCGATGCTGGTATCCCGTGTAGTCGAACGACGGTCGAGATGAAGAGGCGGGCTGTTTCTTCGGCTGTGATTGATTTTTTGCAGGCTGCGAAGTGTGCCATTTTCGTCAGTCGATCGACGACGACCAGGATCGCGTCATTTCCACTCGCCCCGGCCGGTAACCCCGTGACGAAGTCCATCGTCACCTGCTGCGAAGCACGCTCTAGTGGTGGGATCGGCTGCAACTGTCCCGCCGGCCGCTTCCGTGAGGACTTCATGATCTGGCAAGTGGGACACGATGCCACGTGTCGCTGCACGTCGGTCAACATTTCAGGCCAGTAATAATACCGCTGCAACTGCTGCCGTGTTTTCTCTACCCCGAAATGCCCCGAGGTAACCCCGTCGTGTGCCTCCTGTAGTAATAATTCCCGTAGTAGTGTGTACCCTGGTACCCAGATGCGGTCGGTCCCAGCTTTTACGTAATAGACTCCTCTAGCTGCTGCGAATTTCCTCCTGTGAAAAATGGGTCTGTTTGATATCCGTGGGTAAATAGTCCTGTCAGTAGTGGGCTGGTCTGGGCGAGTAGTATCGCGTGGATTTGGGCAGTGGGGCGGGTCAGTGCGTCGGCGATGTTCGAGGCTCCTTTTTTATAGGTGACTGTGTAATGGAAATTTGACTCGAGGAAATCGAGCCATCGAATTTGTCGTGGGTTGAGGTGGGGCTGTGCGCGGAGGTACTGTAGTGATCGGTGGTCTGTCCGTACTGTCACGTCTGCGCCGGTCAAGTAGCAGCGCCACACTTTGAATGCATGCACGATCGCAAGCATTTCGCGGTCGTGTATCGGGTAATTTCGCTCGGGCGGATGCAGTTTTCGTGACTCGTTTGCGATGGGCTGTAGGCCGTTGCCGAAGTCTTATAGCAGTACGGCTCCGATGGCGATGTCGCTCGCGTCAGTAACAACCTCGAAAGGGCGGTGTGGGTCGGCGATGTGCAGGACGGGTGGTGAACAGAGAACATTTTTCAGGGCAGAGAAGGCAGCCTGCTCTTTCTCCCCCCAAGTAAAAACGACCCCCTTGCGCAGTAAATCAGTCAGCGGGGCAGTCAACCGTGCCATGTCGGGGACGAACCGACGCACATAGTTAACGAACCCTAAAAAACTCTACAGCTCCGTGATGTTGGTCGGGGGACGCCACACTTTTACCGTATCCAGTTTCTTTGGGTCGATTTCAACTCCAGCCTCCGAAATGACGTGCCCCAAAAATTCTAGCCTATCCTGGAAAAACTCGCACTTGGAACCCTTGGTGAGTAGGCGATGCTTGTCTAAAATCGTGAAAACTGCTTCGAGATCCGCTAAGTGCTGCTGCTTGTCCCGACTGTAAACTAGGATGTCATCGAGGTAAACTATGACACACTTGTCTAAAAGCGGCCTAAATGCCTCGTTCATGGTCATCTGGAAAGTTGCCGGTGCGTTGGTCAGTCCGAAAGGCATCACCGTGTATTCGAACGACCCGGACCTAGTCCAAAATGTCGTCTTGGTAGCCCGAATTTGATGGTAGCCCCCCCGTAAATCTATTTTCGAAAACACCCGTGCTGTTCGCAATTGGTCTATCAGTTCGTCGGCGCGGGGGATGGGATATCGCGACTTGACTGTTACCCTGTTCAGTGCTCTGTAGTCGATACACATGCGAAAACCCCCGTCTTTCTTCGGCGTGAACAGTATCGGTGCGGCGAATGGTGACGAGCTTGGTCAGATGAATTTCTTCTCTAACAGGTAATCTAACTGCTTCCTTAGCTCGTCGAGCTCGGGCTGTGTCAGTCTGAACTGGCGCTGTACGGTTGGCTGTGCCCCTGGTTCTAATTCGATTCGATGATCGTGCGCGCGCTGAGGTGGCAATCCTTCCGGTAGATCGTCGAGAAAAATCCCGGAGTACCGTTTCAACAGTTCCTGTAATTCGGGCGGTACAGCTTCTAGCAGTTTCTTGAAATCCCTCGATTGCTCTACTCCCCCTACTACTGCGATGTCTACTGCGTACACGTCAGCTCCAGCAGCGACAGCCCGTTTCAGTGTGACGGCGTTGACGTGTATCGTTGAAGACTCGGGCGACTGCCAGCGAGGTAGTTGAACCCAGTTACCATTAATTCGCACGGTGCAGCTACCCGTCGTCCAGTCAATTCGCGGGTTATACTGTCGCAACCAATCACGCCCCAATAAAATTTCGTGCCCATCCAGTGTCGTTGCGAGCATTTCCTGTGTAAACACGAAATTTCCCCCGCAGCGGACTTTGACCCTCTCTACTTTCTCCCGTATGGCCAGCGGCGTGCCGTCGACTAAGCGTGCGTCTATCTCCGGTAAACAACGGTTAAGTGTCAGTTGCAGCTTCCGTGCAGTTGCGGTATTAACTAAGCTGTGGCTTGCTCCTCCGTCAATAAAAATCTTCACCGCTGCTCCCTGTATTTTCCCGTGGATCAGTACTGGGGAATCCGTCGCTGTACCCTCCTTATTCATCCGAGCCCGATCGATGGCGTCAATCGGTACTGTGACTCGGTGAGGGTCGGTGTGGTTGGGCGAGCAGGCAGTCTCGTCAGTAGTTGGCCCAACTTCTACTGACTGCTGGCGTTTCCCTGCCTCTGAGACTCCCTTCCCTGCTCTGCTCCGCGGCGCCTTAGCTCCTCTGGGCATTCGCTCTTGCGATGGCCCGGCCTGTTGCAAGCAAAGCAGCGCCCCTTAAACGGCGCAGCAGCTGCGTTCGTCGCAACAGCGTGTACAGTGGCGTGCTCGATCGGTCCCCGAGGGCGATGTCCGTAGTAGGACCCCGGTCTCGGACGGCGTAAAATGTCGATTTTCTCGGCGAGCGCGAGGATCTCGTTGAAGTTCGAGAGCCCGCGTAGCATGATTTCGTGCGAGATGTCCGGCTTCAGTCCTCCAACGTAACGGTCTATCCGCTCCGCCTCGTGCATGTAGCCGACTTGCTCGCATAATGCAAGAAAACCACTCGTGTAGTCTTGAACCGACCCAAGCTGCCGCCAAGTACGCAGTTTATGACGCGCCGTAATGGAAGCCGCGATCGGCTCGAAGCGCGCCCGAAGCCCTGCGCACCACGCATCCCACGTGCTGTATTGGGCGGTTTGACAGAACGAACTCCAGGTAACAACTGGACCCGTGGGCCCTCCCTCTTGCGACGGTGGCTCGTAGGCGCGTGGCGACGTCACGATGACTCGCCACCAGTCCATGGTGGGGCCCCTTAGCAGCGAAACGGCATACTGAATCTTCGC